AGAGCAGGAGTATTGGTCTCTAAGTGTGTATTTTAAAGATGTGTGTGTATGTGTATGTATGTATGTATGTATGTATGTGTGTGTGTGTGTGTGTGTGTGTGTGCGTGCGTGCGTGCGTGCGTGCGTGCGTGCGTGCGTGCGTGTGTACATTTCACTGTTTTTGCATCCAGACAACAGTAGGAGGGATATCCTGTTTATCCTCTTTGATGATAAGAACTCAGTAATGAAAGATTGAGTGTTTGGAGGGAGAAAAAAGTTGAGAGAGATGGAAAGAAAGTATTTTTTTGCATATCATCAGTAAAGCAGTATTCTCCAGACACCAAAGACTTTAATTTCTCCACTCCAATTAGGGGTAATTGCAGTGAGAGTGGAAGAAGAGAGAGTTTTGAAGTTGGAACCGCCGCGCAGCCTTTACTTACCTCTGACCCGCTTGTCCTGAGATTGAATAATTACACAGCTCCCTCCTGGTAATTGTCGTTCTCGAACCCCTCCGTGTTTTGATGGGGCAAAAAATAAAAAGGAGGAAGAGAAAACGCGAGCCGGATAATAACAGTGTGTCGGTCGCAGTCTGTGGTTACTTTGGTGATTTCCCTCTTTCATAAAGCTTTGAGGAGAGTAGCTGCAGGCCAAGACTGGGCCACTGGATGTGGAGTGACACTGTTGTGTGCAGCAGTGGTGAAAGAACTACTCTGATTATTTACTTAAAGAGGACATATTATGCTCACTTTCAGGTTCATATTTGTGTTTTGTGCCTCTACTGTGACATGTTGATATGTTTTAATGTTCAAACAGCTCTTTATTTTTCTCACACTGCCTGTGCTGCAGCACCTCTTTTCACCCTCTGTCTGAAACCAGAGCCCAGTCTGCTCTGATTGGTTAGCTGGTCTGTTCTGTTGGTATTAGTCAAACGCTTAGAGATGTCCGGTTCCTTAGTCTATCACGTACAATATGTCGTGGCACTAGCCAAAAGAAGCGTGAGTGTTACATAGTGATGTCATAATGTTACAGAAGTAAACAAAGAAGTTCAATGGAGGCATTT